AGTATTTTAATTTCCCTCCCCTAATTATTATTTTTATATACTAAATATAATATAATTATATTATATATTATATATTATATAATATATTATAAGGCTCGCGAGCGGCTCGTCGAGCCGCGAGCCTACAATACCTAAGCTCGGCTCGTGCTCGTTTAATCCACGAGCTACTCGAGCTCGAGCCGAGCTCGATTTTGACCGAGTTCGAGTCGAGCGTTGACCGAACCGCTCACGAGCGACTCGCGAGCCGCTTGGCTCATTTACACCCCTAGGCTGCTCGTGTTATACATCCTGGACCCCGGGTCTCTATTATTATTGGGCCATTTCCAATATATCCATCATCAGTCCCCCACTCTCTGAGTTGCGAGTTGTCGACAACGAGAGAGAGTAAACGTTTGGCACAATTGAAACTGCTCGGGACTCCATGCTTGGATGAATGCTTCAGGGTCAACTTGAAAAAATATTTCGCTTATTCCAACACCTTTTAAGCTTTTAGCTTCGCACTTTTATCGTGATTCGAGTCCTCTCCGTTCGAGAGCGGGCTGTCTAGACGACGCATGGTCGTTTATTAGATTCTTGCTCGCGTTATTTTTTTTTTATTATTATTATTATTATTTTTTTTTTACGTAATATGTAGTTATTTGGCCAAGGGTACTCTTGGTCCAAAAACTCTTCCGTTGGGGTTGGTACGCGAGGTCGGGCCTCGTGCCCCCTTAGGGTACGTTAGCCGCTTAGGCCTAGTCCTACTGGACTAAGCCACCGAGCTCTTTCGTCGGGGTTGGTACGCGAGGTTGGACCTCGTGCCCCCTTAGGGTGCACTACCGGCATGAGCAAAGTCTAGCCGGACTAAGCCATCGGATTCTCCCGTCGGGGTTGGTACGCGAGGTCGGACCTCGTGCCTGCCCCCTTAGGGTGCGCAAGCCGCTTGGGCCGAGTCCTGCTGGACTAAGCCACCGAGCTCTTCCGTCGGGGTTAGTACGCGAGGTCAGACCCCGTGCCCCCTTAGGGTGATAGCGCTTTGACCCTAGTCATTTGACACTGGGCCGTTAGGCTCTTCCGTCGGGGTTGGTACGCGAGGTCAGACCTCGTGCCCCCTTAGGGTGATAGCGCTTTGACCCGAGTCATTTGACATTGGGTCGTTAGGCTCTTCCGTCGGGTAGCTAGCGGGATCGGATCCCGTGCCTGCCCTTAGGGAATAGAGCGAGCAAGCTTGAACAAATTGGAATTAAATTCAGGGACCGTTGGCCTGGAGTCCTTGGTCCCGGCCCCTCTCCCACCTCGGAATGGAAAAATTTGCCGAACTTGGGCTAATTTTGCAATCCAACAAATATTTTATTCTAATAAAACAGATTGTTGGTCGGACCAACATACATGGAATATGCCAATAATAGACTCTTCCATCAAGTAGTGGGCGGGGGCGGATCCTGTACCACCGCTAGGGAGTGCCAAGGTCAGGGCCGGCGCTCACGACCGTGACCATGGATATATTAATTATTTTGCCCAGGCGAGGTCGGACCTCACAACGCCACTAAGGAGAACCAATAATAATAATAATAATAATAATAATAATAATAATAATAATAATAATAATAATAAATAATTATTATTATTATGATGATGATGTTGAAAGCTGCCGCCTTCGATGAAAGCCAATAACATTGAAGCTTTCGGAATATCTGTTGAAACAGCTCTCACTGCCATGGTTGCACACCCGAATTACAGAGGTCTCACCATTGTGCTTTCCTTTTCACCTTATCATTACGAGGGAGGAGAGTGGAACACGGGAGGATCATGCACCGAGGAGGTCAAGCCAGCTGTAGATAGTGAATTGGCCGAGAATGGCATCACCAACGAACATAATGCACGTACGAGAAACAGTCGATTGGCTTCTCTCGAGCAATCAAGAAGAAAACCAACAAGTTAGAGTTGAAATTCATGGACATCACACGAGTGTTTGGGTATCGCCATGATAGACTGTCTACCGAAGCCTGGACCCAAACAAAATCACAAAACTAGGGCGGGATGGTAAACCTCCACCGCAGTCCAGTTAATACATGGAATGATATGGTGTTTGAAATTATACGAAGGGAATTCCAAGGGCTGCAAACTACTCCCTCATGAACCACTCACAGTTTCTTCCCACAATGCAAAGGTTCTTTTAAATTATAGCTAGACTCCCTTCTTCTTCAGGCTACACGAGAAACAGACAGACAAAACTGCACGGCCATATCTTGTTTATGAACCTTATCTGCCACAAATTTGGAATGCAGCTTGGCTTGTCACATTACCCCCACATAATTATTGTTGTTTGATACGCTAAACAGTAGTAGTACATGAGTAAAGTTCACTTGCAGGACCCGGACCTCCGATCCTTGCCCGACCTACTCACTTTGCCGTGAGAAATACCCGGGCCTCCATCGCCGCCTTCATTGCAACAACATATTCGTACGTTGTAATGCCCTTTCTAATCAGTATCATGTGGACAAAGAAGAGTTCATCCGAGGGTGCACAACCCAGCACCGAAATCGCTGTACAAACAGCCGCAAATGGAGCCCGAGAGAAACCATTCCCTAGTCTGTCGACTATTTCAGCCTCCATGTTCTTTTTATTCACAAAGCACCGCACCAAAACATCAACTCCAGTCCCAGCTTCAATAGCAAGCCATACTAGACTGATGGCCATAAGAGATATAAAGTAGCATAATTTTTCAGCCCGACACAGTTATTTAGCCACCGACAATGGTGATCAAATCCGTCAACACATTTGTCACAGCTTCTATAATGTTTATACGGCAAAGTCATACATAAGCGGGGTTCAGCGATTCCGGTCTGCTAGTACATGGTGGTGAGCTTCGCCTGGTGAATCTTGAGCCGATGGAGCTTCATGATGTCAAAATAATCCAAAATGACGTGCGTTCGGAGAATGCTCTCGGCGATGTCGATGGGGCGGCTGGAGAGATCTCCGATCTGGCCGTTTTTCATGGCCAAAACAGTTACAGTGGAGTGCTGATTGATATGAGTGGCTAAACCGGTCCGAGTCAAGAGATCGTTGAAGACGCCGTAATCGGGGGAGCGGAGGCGATGGAGAGGATGCATGTTGGGCATCATGTTAGGAGGATAACTGCATGCGGCGGCGGAGAGCGCGCCTTTACTAATGATCTGAGATAGATGGTCGAGGACTACTCGAGATGTAATACTCCCAGGCTCAGCTACGATGGCCGTAGCGTGAGGTGTCGCATGCAAGTGGCGATTGATTTCTGCGGACAGAATCGAAGGTTGAGGCTCATAGAGGGCTGCCGAATCACTGAGGGGAGTCGAGAAAATCGAGGTTCTATGGTGACGGCAAGAAGCAGCGGGGATGATCTAATATCGTCTAATGATGCAATGACCATATATTCATTGTCTTGTAAATTGGGGTATTTTGTGAAAGGTGGATCGCACTATTGTTGATCGTGCTAGTTATGCTAGACAAAAAGTAGAGAGCACGCTCGAGCTTGTACAACCGCTCTCAACAAAAGCACCAATGATGAATTTAATTAACCCGGGGTTCGAGTTATTAAATCCTATAAATAAATGAAATAATAAATGGATAGCCAAGGTAAAATAATGGCAAAATAAATATATATCGCGGAGATAATTTTGTATTGATTAGTGAATTGATAAGCCGATTACATCAGGTGTGAAGCTATTATAGTAGAAGATCAAGACAAGATAGAAGGTGTCCCCTTAATAGGACAAACACATGCCTATTTAAACAAAATAACCCTAACTAACTCGCTAATTGCCAGACGTTATGCCATGGAACCGTGTTCACCATTCATGGTGAACACGGTTCCATCGGTGTTAGTGCACCGTTATCTTTTTTTTTTTTTTTTTTTTTTTTTTTTTTTTTTTTTTTTTTTTAATTACGTGACTGCCTACGCATTCACTTTGGAACCATTCCTACACATTCACTTTGGAACCATGAGATTATGAATTTTCTGTTATGAGATTATGAATTTTCTGTTATGAGATTATGAATTTTCTGTTATGCGATTATGAATTTTCTGTTATGAGATTATGAATTTTCATTACATTCATAATTTCGGAATTTCGGACATTCATAAATTATGAATTCATGCATGCACATTCACTTTGGAACCATGCCTACATATTCCCGTCCGAAATTACGGACATTCATAAATTATGAATCCATGCCTGCACATTCACTTTGGAACCATGCCTACACATTCACTTTGGAACCATGAGATTATGAATTTTCTGTTATAAGATTATGAATTTTCTGTTATGAGATTATGAACTTTCAGTTGTGAGATTATGAATTTTCTGTTATGCGATTATGAATTTTCTGTTATGAGATTATGAATTTTCATAAAATTCATAATCTCATAACAGAAAATTCATAATTTGATCAGTAACGCGCCGTTAACTCCACATCCGCGAATTTTTTTTTTTTTTTTTTTTGCCTAAAAACGACGTCGTTTTGACTTGTGTTCACCATTCTCGGTGAACACGATTCCACAGCATAATTTGCGGCTAATTGCACGATGGGCCAAAAGACTAAGTTAAGGCCCATGTGGTGGGCCGTAGGAATAAGTCCAAGCCCATGCGGTGGGCCGTGAGACTAAGTCAAAGCCCATCATTCTCGCCCCGTAGGCAGGCTCCGGGCTTGAGAGTCTTCTTAGGCTGCTCGTGTTATACATCTTAGACCCCGGGTCTCTATTATTATTGAGCCACTTCCAATATATCCATCAATTACAATTTCATATGTTAATTAAGAATGAAAATTACACCTACCCAAGGACGAAAACTGCAGTTTTCCCTTACAACTATTAACTGGGAGTAATAAAGCATTACTAATAATGCATATAAACTGTTAGCTTTCCTTTTTTTTTCCAATTCCTGTGAACTATATGGAAGTAATGGTTACAATACAAAGTTATCATACAGACAATATGTTCAGCTGCAACTGTTGTGGCCTTTCTTCCTATACTTTTTTCATTCTATCACAATTTGAGTGTGTTATTGCCTGTATAGTCTTAGGTGAATCAGAAACTGCAAAACAAAGCTATATCAGAATTGCTATACATTTACCTCAATTACATATCACTTCAACCTTAAACCTTAAAAATCTCCCCTGAAATATGGAGACCCAAAGTATGAGCTAGAGAATGTGCCTCCAACATTAGGGAAAAGGGTAAGGAAACACACCAAGAAAAGTACACAGCCCCAAGCAAACCTCTCATCTCCCAACGGCGTGATCTCGTCTTGCGCAGGGATCTCTTCCCCGCCCCGGAAGAAGGTTGCGAAGAGGCCCCACGCCAAACACACGATGCTTCCGCTGATACCACCAAGTCCTAGAAGGAACGAGGTGGCGAAAGTTAGCAAATTGGCGGTGCTTCTGCCAAACATGGCCTGCGCGATACGCCCCCCCTCGAGCCTCCCACAGGGCAATAAATTCAAAGAGGTAACGACCATCCCTGCAAAAGAATAATCTCGCTAAGTGAACATATCACTTTATAAGAGTCTCGTGGTTTTAGCATCAATTGGTAGCTAGGGAAAGGCCAAGTCCAGCACCCTGCCTCTCGAGGTCAAAATACCGAGTAAACTCACCTAAGAGACCAGCAAAAGCGAGGGGATCGACCGGGACCCCCACACCCTCGACTGCATAAGGCAGCACATTTCCGAGATCATCAGCATATGGCCCAATAACATATTGAATAAAAGAGAACAGAGGATTATTCTCAAAGAACTGAGGTCTTATGTACCTGCAAACGATCGAAAAGAAATAAATGAGCTAACTGTGAAGTGAAAAGGCTTAAGGCAGCCTTTACTCCGAGTAGCCTAGATGTGGCATGGCACCCCGATACTTGTGTATAGTTCTGCTCTGTTTGGATTCTAATGATAGATTCGCCTTTATCCCATAAGCTTTAAATGTTTTAAAATTAGACTGAAAATTAGGGGTGTTACAGTTGGTATAAATTAGACCAAGACATCTATAAGTATTACAAAAGGTAAACTAAATCACTTACAGTGCATTTTCACCGCCATTAAAGCTTCCGTCAGATATAAAAGCAGCGACGACAAGTAGCAGTGATGTCACATAGGCGCTTGCGGTCCTAGCAACCGGAATGTCAAATAAAGCCTTCTTATTTGGTAGCAAAGACTCGTAATTGTTTATAACACCAAGGCATCCGGTCCAATTGGATGGAACAAGAAAGGACGGACTAAGTTTGACACCATACCGGGATGCTACCACTCTTGTTGTTATCTGCAAACATATCAGACGATACAGAACTCAACAACTGAAACACAGACATCACGGTTCCAATTTAAGGATAACCACTTGCTTCGATGAATCAATATAGTCATCTAAGATGCAATGCGTACCTCTGAAACTCCCAAAATTGTCAAGAAGCCGCCAAAGAGAGGCACCACATCCGCCAAGTAGTCGTCAATTGTAGCGTCGGGCTTGAGGAAGAAGCCACTCGTCAAAGCTATGGTCCCGAAAGTTGTAACGCATAGTGCTATTGCACTAATATAACCCCAAGGAGTGCTTAACTTGGTTGACTCAAATTGAAGTTCCATCTCCAATTTAGGTTGCACCACACAAGCCTTAAGAAACAGCAATCACCAATAACCATTACTTAAACTCGCAATAAAATGAAAACATTTAAAAACAAAAGGACGATCAAGCTACATGCTTTAAGCTTTCTTTATTCAACACAAGTATATATGTATCTATCGTTACTTACATAACAATAGTATCGGTTATCATATAGGCCTGCCACTGTTGGAAATTATGAAATTTCCGACCACCTGAAAGCGATCTTATATCAAGTCGAAAGCAAAAAGTGATCGGAAATAGCAACAAAGATTTTTTCGGATACCAAAAATGGTCGAAACAAGACTTTCGACTTAATTTAAGATCATTTTTAGGTGGTCGGAAATTCCATAATTTCTAGCAGTGTGCATCAGCTTAGTATTTGTGAAAACTAATGTCCCCTACTAACAAGTAGCCATTAGGAGATTGCTGGGCAGAGGCCTAAACGTTCGGGCCAAGTCCAGCATCCTGCCTTTCGAAAATGTGACGCTAACTGCTACGCACTTATAAAGAAATAAAATTGCGTCTTCACTACTAGCTATTGCTTTTAGCTTATTGGTAAGCAATTGATCCTAAGACTAACAAATAGTACTCCGTATTCCACAATCATGGAAAGGAAGCTTCAATAATAGAAAAGATGAGTTACCTGTTTCTTAATGTCATTTGTTGTTTCCTCGGTAAACCACAAAACAACATCCCTTCCAGCAGCTTCTGATAGCTTCTTCTCTAGCTTGGGTATTACTTCTTGAATGGGTTTCCTCAAGTTTCCAATAAAGATCCCTCCATCTCCAAATCTCCTAACATCTGTCGCGAAAAACGTATCAAACCCAAAGCAGCTCTTTAACTGCCATTCAAAGTTGAGACACACAATACAATCAAATGATTCTGTTAACAATTAGCCCGGAAAAGCGATTATTGTAATGCCATTTGAGAAGCAAAATATATAATAACCTTATTAAGATCAAGAGCCTTGAAAGACTCCTCTGCTTTCTCTAACCTCTCTTTCTCTCTGGACAAACTGTCACGAAGCAGCCTATTCAGTAAGCTCACCACTGGATTGCTACTGCTCTGTCTATCAAGTTCCTTCAACCTCCTATCCGCCCTCTTCTTCTCCAGCTTTATAGCAGCCTCAATTGAGGGATTGCCCATAAAGTTCTTGAACTCCTCGTCGGTTTTCCAATCCATTTCTTGCTGCTTCTCTCTCTCTATCTCCTCAGATCCACTCTCTTTCTGCAATTCTCCTTCCAAGTGCAAGTCTTTCTTCGCGATTTCCTCATTTCGAGCCTCTTCGTGAGCCACGGCCACCGAAGATGAAGAGGGTTCATCTTTATTCTCCGCCCTGACATAAAAACTCAATCTTTTAGAGTTTTTTGAGGAGCAAAGCGAGGAAAAGATTTGGGTCTTGGCGCCAAGAGGCGAATATTTGGAAATTGGATAAGAACAAGTAGGCAATCGATGGGAGTGCTTGCTGAGGGTCCACGAAGAAGAAGAAGAAGAGCACGAAGCAGTAAAGGTAGCCATGGCCGGAGAGTCGATTAGGATTTAGGAATGCAATCTTCTGCGACGAAATATGGAGCTTTGGAGCATAAGTAGAGCAGTAGAAGGTGTCGGAAAGGTCTAGAAAGGCGGAGAAGAAGTACAGGTTGCATGCATCGTGGAGATAATTACAAAAGAGTGATTGTCTGATTGAGAGTTGAAACCCCACCGCCACTGGAGCCTGGAGATTTTGGAAATTCGTGGCGGATGAACTTCGAATCACGCTCGAGTTTTGGCGCTGTGTCTTCGAAAACACGAGAAACGACCGTGTGACAAAATTCTTAACGAATCAACGGAGCAGTTTGTACAAAATCAGCGTATTGAATTCTTATCTTAATATCTTATCCACAAATAGATACTAGGTTCGAGAACACCTAGTCGGTAGTTCTTGTAGTTTTGTTACAGTGATGTTAAATTTAAATATTTTATATTTATAAATTAAATTTGATTAATTAAAAATAAACAGTAAAGACAATAAGGCATATAGTGACCTCTTTCTGGGAGATCATGAGATCGAGCCTCAATAAAGGTGTTGACTCTTTGTACTTTAATAGGTTGATAAAGTATATTTGAACAGGTACTATAATGTAATAGAGTCAATAACATTCTAAAAAAAAAAGTAAATGAAAATATAAAAATAAAAATATAAAATTAAAGAAATTTCTTAAAATAGTGTTTGGTTTAGAATTTACTGTCTGGTGGCCATGCCCGTGGCCGCTGGGCAGATTTTACTGCCTTGTGACCACGGGTGTGGCCACACCCGTGGGTAGCCCCCTGTTTAGAGGGAACTTTTACACCCAAAAAGATATCTTTCATTTTCCTTTCATTCTCTAGTTATGTTTAGCTCTAGAATAGTTTAGATTTCCCTACCAAAAAAAAAGAAGAAGAATAGTTTAGATTAATGTAGATTATTTGTACTTTTTTATTTCCAAGCTCAAGAACATTGCAAATCTTGGATTTTAAGGCTTCAGTAGAGAAGTTTTCTTATTATCTCTTCTCTTTACTTTTCATCTATGCTTTCAATTACTCTTTTAATATTGTGTATCTATTGTTATATTATGAGTAACTAAGTGTTTTGGGACTAGGATTTGGTTTGATTTTTTGCTATACGGACTGCCTGACACTACATCGTTATCTTACTACACCAACTGTTGTGTTGCTCACATATCTAGGCTATGCCATTGACACTTGCAGGCTTATTACATCTTCGTTTCAGTCTTGTTCGTTTCATTTTATTCCTAGATTAGAGAACCATCTAGCTCATGCTTTAGCTACTACGGCTTATCAGCAAACTACAGCTATGTATTGGGATCTACTACCACCGGATGTTATTTCGGCCTACTTTTAATGAAGCATCATATAATTTTCAAAAAAAGTGTTTTGGGACTAGGATTTGGTTTTATTTTTTGCTATTGATGCCTATTTGAGTTGTATTGCATAAAGGGGATTATTTGGGTGTTCTTGGGTTAGTTGTGTGAATTGAGTTAGTTGTGAAATTGTGTATAATTGTTGGATCCCAATTATATGCTTTATTTGGAGTGTGTTTGTTACTACGAGGGTAGAGCTTGTACACTAGTCAGACATTCACACACTTAATGCCCAATACGAGAGTATTTCGGGTATTAAGGAGAATTTATGCATTTTGTTCTTGCTTGGGCAACCTTGGGTTGAATTGCCACGAGAGTGGAGTTTAAAGTGAGGTTGCAAGTCCAAATAGCTACGAGAGTGGTAGGACACTTTTGTGCATCTCACTTGCCCTATGTCTTGTTTTAATTCCCTAATCTTTAGTACAATATTTGGCATTTTAGCGTGAATCAACCAAATCCCGGTCCATTGTTTTACTTGTCTTATTTGTTATTAGCCTAATCATATCAAACCAACTCATTAAGGATAGGTCTAATTTCTATAAGGATAGTTTTAGCTTGTGCGTAACTCCGCTTTGCATCAATTCCTAACATTACAAGAGCCATCTCCAGTGGAACGATATCTAAACTCTATACTGTAATTTGATACTTGATGGATGTGTGAAAACCGTCCTCATCAATTTGCGTCCAGAATTCCAGGTTATGGCGTCGAGTCTGCCGACCTCTAGAATGTTGTCTCCATCGCGCAGCTCTCGGACTTTCTGGTGGCTTAGCAGTTCATCCACAGTGACAACTTCTCGGGTTCTCCGACGAGTGATCCAGCGGCAATGGTGGCTCGCCGTGGAGGTGGTCAGTCTGGTGATGGTTCGTGGCACGGTGGTCAGTCTGGAGGTTTCGGGCGTGGTCGCGGCAACGGCCGTGGCGGTAATGGTCGCGGTGCTCGTAATGGTCGCAGTGGTGGCCGAGGTCCTCGTTGCCAAATCTGTCGTGCCCATGGGTATTCTGCTCTTCATTGTTACCGCAGGTATGATGCTCAACCGGCTGAACCCCAGGCCAACGCGGTTGTGGCTGGTGCACCCTCGAGGGGTCTGTTTCGTGGTTTCCCGACACGGGTGCCACTCATCACACTACCCCCTCAGATGCTAGTGTGACGGAGTCAGAGGCATATCGTTGGATGGACACGCTCCGTATGGGCAATGGTGAAGGTTTGCAAATCTCTCGTATTAGTCATGCTTTAGTTTCTGCGTCTAAACCCTTAAGTTTGTCTAATATTCTAGTTGTTCCTCGTTTGTCTAGTTCGTTATTGTCTGTTTAGCGTTTCTCTCGTGATAATAACGTTTACTCTGAATTCTATCCTGATTGCTTTGTTGTGAAGGATTTAGTTACCAAGGCGGTTCTGCTTAAGGGTCCGAGTTTGGGGGGTCTCTATTCACTTCAACTTCCTGTATCGCCTATTTCTTTGTTGTCTGCTCGTGCTTTGTCTAGGATTTGGCACAAGTGGTTAGGTCATCCACATTTTCGAGTTTTGAATAGAGTTTTAAAGTTGTGTCCTGTTAGTACGTTAGACTTCAATTCTACTTCGTTATGTTCGTCATGTCAGTTAGGGAAATCATCTCGTTTTCCCTTGTCTCGTGTTGAGACCTCCAGTTCAAATGTATTAGACTTAATATATACTGACATTTAGGGTCCTACGCCCGTTTTGTCGCCAAATGACTTTCGTTACTTCGTGTTGTTTGTGAATGATTTTTTGCGTTTTTGTTGGCTTTATCCGCTCTGTTTTAAAACTGATATATATGATGTTGTCAAGCCTACCATGGTTCGTCTGTTGTTATCTATTGCTTTATCCCGTGGTTGGACTCTTCAGCAGCTAGATGTCCACAATGCATGCATTTTTGAACTGGAATTTAGATGAAAGAGTTCACATGCGGCAACCCCAGGTTATTCTGATCCGAATTTTCCTAATTCTGTTGTTTTATTGCAACGTTCCCTTTATGGTTTGAAACAGGCTCCCCGGGCCTGGTTCAAACGGTTGCATGATTTTCTATTGTTCGTGGGTTTTATGGCGTCAAAGACCGACGTTTCTCTGTTTTATTACACACGTGCTGGGTCTCAGGGGTTTTTTGCTTGTTTATGTGGACGACATTTTATTAATGGGGAGTGATTCCAAGTTGGTGTCTGATTTTATGAAGCGCTTGGCTACGGCTTTTAAATTGCGTGACTTGGGTGTTCCTAACTTTTTTCTTGGGATACAGACTGTTCCGTTTGAGGGTGGTCTCCTCTTGTCACAACGCCAGTACATGTTGGATATTTTGAAGTGTGCCAGGATGTCGGATTGCAAGCTCTTGCTACTCCGGTCTTGGTGTCTCGGACGGGTTCCGAGTCTAAAGAACCGTTTGATAATCGGACTCAATATAGAAGCTTGGCAGGTGCTTTGCAGTATCTCACGGTTACGCGTCCGGATCTTTCGCTTGCCGTGAACCAGTTGTGCCAGCATATGTATTCGCCCACGACGCTACACTGGGGTATGCTTAAGCGTGTGTTGCGTTACGTGAAGGGTATCTTGGACTATGGTTTACGGTTGTGTGTCTCAGAATCTGGTGAGTTGCATGCTTATTCCGACTCTGATCGGGTCGGCTGTCCGGTTGATCGGAAGTCCACTAGTGGTTTTGCGGTTTTTCTTGGTTCGAATCTAGTTTCGTGGGTTTGTTGAAAACAGCGCACTGTGGCGCGTTCGTCTACTGAGGCCGAGTACAAGGCGTTGGCTGATGTGGCGGCGGAGGTTATTTGAGTTGTTTCTTTGTTGCATGAGCTCGGTCTCCACTCGGGTTGTATTCCAAAATTGTGGTGTGACAATCTCGGGGCCACTTATCTCAGTGCCAACCCCGTGTTTCGTGCTCGGACCAAGCACTTGGAGGTTGACTATCACTTTTTTCGTGATAAGGTGGCCTTGGGTGACTTTCAGGTTAATTGTATATCCACTAAGGACCAGATTGCTGATATTCACCAAGCCGCTAGCTGCTACTCGGTTTGGGGTTCTACGTTCCAAGCTCAATGTTGTTTCTCCACCTTGTGCTTCAGGGGGCGTATTAAGACTCTATAGTAGTGTCCTTCTATAGCTCTACTTCTATCTAGTTTTATATCTCTCTATATTGTATTCTAATTATTATCATTCGAACTATCTTTGCGTAATACTACAATTGAGTTCCTCACAACTCTCATCCATATTAATAATTGAAATCATAAAACAAAAAAATTATGAAAATTTGACGATTTAGATTTCATATTAATAATTGAAAGATTTAATACCCAATTTGGTCCCTCGACTATTAGAATTTCACCAATTTGATCATCGACTACTAAAGTTGCTCAATTTAGTCCCTAACTAGGCAATTTTTACCTAAAATGGTCCCTCGACTATTAGGATTTCATCACTGTGGTCCTCGACTACCAAAGTTGCTAATTTAGTCCCTAACTATGCAATTTTTACCTAAAATGGTTGCTCGACTATTAGGATTTCACCACTTTGGTCCTCGACTACCAAAGTTGCTCAATTTAATCCCTAACTATGCAATTTTTACCTAAAATGGTCTTTCGACTGTTAGGATTTCACCATTTGGTCATCGACTATCAAAATTGCTCAATTTAGTCCCTAACTAAGCAATTTTTACCTAAAATGGTCGCTCGACTATTAAGATTTCACCACTTTGGTCCTCGACTACCAAAGTTGTTCAATTTAGTCCCCAACTATGCAAATGTTAACTTGAAATGTAAGTTTAGTGTGGATTTGGGGACCTTTTTGGAGAGTCGAGGACCGAAGTGGTGAAATCCTAATAGTCGAGGGACCATTTTTGGTAAAAATTGCTTAGTTAGGGACTAAATTGAACAATTTTGATAGTCGAGGATCAAAGTGGTGAAATTCTAATAGTCGAAGGACCATTTTAGGTAAA